ACATATGTACGAATATGTTTGCCTTACTTACACGTAATTTACATACATACAAATGCATATACAACGAGGAAGAAAGCCGTATTCTCTCTGTTTTGCTCTCAGTTTTCCGCACTCCATATCCTTGTTTGCACCTTGTGTTGTGTCCTTAATACACGTATTGCCACAAGAACTGGTACTTCCGGTCGATTTGTTGTTGTGTGTGTGTGTGTGTGAGTATGTGTTCATATACGCTATGTTTGTGCTTAGTTTTTTTTTGCACTCATAACGAGTTTTTTTATTTTCGTTGTTTTTGCTGATCTGTTTTTTTCTCTTGCTTTGGTAACGCCAGCCTTAGCAGGTAGTTTCCTTGCGCTGTGTGTCCGTTGGTGGTTATTATTGTTGTTGGCTCAAAATTTCCGTTGCGTGTTTTTCTTGAGAAAAATAAATAAATATGTATTTCAAATAAATATATATATATACATACATATATACATGAACATATAATCAAATCCTGTTCTCAACAAGGACGATGTGAACAGCAAATAAGGATATTTCAAATGTTTTTTAGATAGGTAAATGTGATGAGCTCAGCTTAAACTTGCACCGGAAAACTTTTTATTTAAAATTAAGTTTTATGGTATAATATAATTGGCCTAGCTCTTCCGGCGATTTGACTGTGGTGGGCGGATTTTAAGCTGATTCACAGTGTTTTTTTTACGAAGAGCTTTTATTTCATGCCAAAAATACAATCGAAGAGCTTGACATTATTTAAATTAATTTTCTCTAATTTTTGTTTGTTAATCGTGTCAGTAAACGAGCCCAGTCCCTATGCATGGTAGTACGCACTGGTAACCAACAACTTGACTATTTGACCGTGAATAAAAGTTCCATTAAATAGTTTAAGCATATTTTTCCTTTTCTTTAGCTTTACATTCGATTTCTTCGTATCCTCTTTAATTCCTTCCACGTTCTTTCGTTATTGCCTTATATTCTCAATTCCATTGCCTTAGAGCAAACATTCACTGTTCTGGCACTTCTTGGAATTCCTTAAAGAACAATTAAATAATTTTACCGCCGAAACTACACATGCATACATACATACATACAGCTTCTATGTAAAGCTCATTCATAAAAGTTCATTTCATTCAAAATATTTGCGCGCGCATAACAAAATATTTTCTTTCTTTATTTAACCCTTTATTTTTGTGTGACAACGAGCAGCAAAAATCATTGTCTTCGCTTCAATGTGGAAGTGTGTGTGAGTATGCGCGTATATCCTTTGTACAGGCGCGCTTCCTTTTGGATTTTAAGTCGTTCTGGCAAACTTTGAATTGGTTCTTGGTACTTTTGGTAATTAGTCTTATTTTTATTGATTTTGCAATTATTTCATCATGTATAAATTTTGTTTCTTGCTCTTATCAAGCAAAATTAACATTCTTCTCATCGTATAAATCTCCTGTCATCTAATAAATAGTCAGCGCATTCGTGTCTTGCCCCGTAGAATTACTTTTGCCAACAGATGCTCTTTGGGCTCTTTGAAGAGACAAGTTCTCTCTCGATTTTATAGTGCAGAAGCGGCTTGGGAGTCTTCAGGAACCTCTCAGGGCTCGTTGTTATGGCTGCGGAATGGAGGATAAAAGGTGAAAATAAACAACCAAATTATTTATTGTTTACGATTTTCTCCAGCAAAACAGATACATATATTTTCCCTCGCTGAAACTGCCTCTTTGACTACTAAAACTGGTACTATAACTTAAAGGCAGTTTTATTATCTCTTCGCAGTCGACTTCATAACTATCCGACATTAAACGTGTTTCGTATTTTAATTTTTTTTTTAATATTTATGTGTTAAAAATCAGTGGACTTCATCGCCAATATGCCTTTCAGGTTTGTTATACTACAACTTTAGTAAGTTGTTAGAAAGTATCATGGCAAACGATAACCGATTCCTCCACTTCTAAGCTCTTGCAGCTGGCGCAAAAGTCGCTGCAGGAACAGCCCATCCTTCTACCACGAGTCCCCATAACACACTGTCTGGTTGTTTTGCGGATTGTTGTGCTCTTGAATAAAGAGATAAAAGTCTAAAGTGCTGTTCACTTCCATCAATGACATGTGGACTCAATCAGCCATCTGCTCTTAATCGCTTTGGTGAAAGCGGTTCATAACTGATACTTTACTGAGAAAATAGGTCGTCTTATGTAGAGTTTACCGGGGCTATAACTGTTCACTATCTGGCCGCACAGTTCCTCGAGATATCGGCAAGACCACATGCAGTCTCGGAAATCTAAAAATATAAGTTTCGGATAAAAGTAAAAGATTTTAATTATTTCCAGTTTATTTAAAAAACGGCTTGAATGGGTAGAAACAAATATATTCAAACGTTTATTCAATACTCTAGATTTTGCTTGGGAGATCCCAAGAGTAATTAAAAATGCTCAACGTTTAGTATGAAAAATTTCGAAAAAATACTTCGAATTTTTGTGTTTTGTCCCACAGCTCATTTGGCATTTTTCAAAACAGTTAATAATCACTGGAGGCCAGGTCTGGGCTGTGCGCTGGGTGATTCAAAGCAACGCGGCTCTTGTGCACCGGCGCATTTCTCTCTAATAGCTTCCTATGAAGTCTCTAATATTGAATCGATCTATAATTTTGATTAAATTCTGGCATGGTCACAACGATGCTCCCGCCAGACCTCGGGTCGTTTAAATAAACCGTGCTTCTACATCATGGATTTCCCCAGACAAGGGTTGCCGTAAGCCAATGACATCTCATTCATTATTGTCGCAACTGTTTGCTGTTTGTTAAGGAACTTCTTAATCGCACGATATACGATTTTTGTTCAGTGGATTACCCGCTGGTTGAAGCAGAGGAAGAATCCGGTGGCGTGAGATCTAGATGCACTAGATCCCTTCCATTAACTCCAAAGTGCAAATAGAAAAAAATACTGGCTTGGCATTGCTGATTCGGCTATAATCGCGTGAACGATGCCTACAATAAAACTAACTTTAATACCTATCTCATATTAGTCATAATGTACCTTGGTATGTGGTTACATATACAGAGGCTTAGTGGTTATAACAAGCAAACAATGAATTCCAGATAAAATAAAATGAAAAATGGTGAAATAAACATAAAATAATAACCGCTGGCGACTAAATCTATCTCCCTGTTGTTGTTGTTGTTGTTGTTTTTATTGTTGTAGCGGTTCGCTAACCCCGCTCGGGGATGTGTTAATCAATCTAAGTCGCCAAGGTCATCCAACGGGTGTTCCCGAAAACGTGCTGCTTCGACGGGATCTGACCAAATGGAGAGGTGCGTTAGATGTGTTGGATTCAGGGGGCATGTGAAGAGGTGGTTACTCTCTACTTGCAGCACTTACTTTGGGTAAGCTGGGGTCGAGTTTGGATAGATAAGAGTTTAGCCAGCTACAGTATCCAAACCTAAGTTGCGCGTGGTGTTAGGCGGGTCTCTGGACGCAGCTCTAGCTTATTCTCTGCAATAGGTGGTGGCTTTTCTCCGAGCATGCCATTCACGGGAAAGGAGTATTTGAAAATATTGACTGACTCCTGCTGAGTGGCGTTCAATGCTTGTCTGTACACGGTTGTTGCACTTTGTCGGACATTTTGTGTGTTTCATGTCAAATACTCTCTTTGTGATGTGCCTAGATGGAGGATCAACTTCTATAAGACTGCCTTACAGTAAACCTAAGTTACGGACAGTTACCATTGAGAGTGTTAAATGATTTATTTTAAGCTTCCGTAGGAAAGCACTTTCAATCCTTCTTAGGCTTACCACAAAAATAATTTAACTGTAGACTGTGACGGTTATTATAGTACACTAGTCTTGCGGGGTAGGGGTTCAAGAATTTTCACATGGCGACGCATGCCTGCCGTAAGAGCCAATGATTACCGCGACACCCCAGTCTGTATACCGAAACGACCAGGGGCTTTTCTCCCAGGGGCTGTCATTTCTGTAAAATACGCCAAAAACTACTTTGGTGGCTTCTGTATGAACTTTGGCTTTTACATTTAATATTGCTAGTTCTATTATTTATAATCCTTAAAAAAGAATTTCTTCTTACCAACCGAAGAGAAGCGAGCATGCATTTACAAGAGGCTAAAGAATTTACCCGTGGTAAGGCATGCCTGTCGAATGAGGCGACTAAGATTTTACCCTCGTTTTTCAAGAACTATATTTTTCAAATCGTGATAGTAGGGTCTTTATACCGGAACGACGCGTATTTTTAATCAGCCAAGGACTTTCACTTCCGCACTATTTCCCGATTCTAGAAATATTTTGCGGTTACAACAAAGGCAACGTATCCTCTCCAACAGCGCAATCGTTTACGTGTACGTCGTTTCTATTGCCCTTTTACTCAACAACAGTTTGATAGCCACTGCGCACACAAATACTACCTCAATATGTATTCAAGGCTTATCGAAGTTTGTGCCACAATATAATGAAAATGCGCTGCTACAACAAAATTTCACTTACCCCAATAGCTGAAGAAACTACAAACGCACTTCAATGGCATGCCACATACTCTATATATGTACATATGTATGCATGTGTACTGCTGCATTGACAATTGAATACATCAACCAATATCTACTACCAAACCTACTACTTTTTTGCAATCGTATACACCGCTAACACTTTTTGAGCACTATGCTGAGAGTAAACCATCAAACTACGCTCACACAACGTGCTCATGCCTCTCAGTACCGCTTTCGTGCCAACCAAAGAGCAAGCCGAAGCGAACATTTGAGTCCGCGGCAACAACAAAACAAGCGAATGCATTGAATAAAGCAAACAACGAAAAACATCTGTCGACCGAGCAGCTGCCGTTCACCGCATAGGAGTGAGTAGGGCAACAAGCTGTTATGCCGGTATATGCTTATTTGTTTGTACACACAGCGTCAAATGTGCGTCGCCGCTGAGCGCAGAGAATGCAGTTAGTTGTTTTGCTCGCAGCGCTAGCGAAGTTTAGCGGGCGGCAGCAACTTGGCGACGTAGCGTAGCGGCAGTTTTGAATTGAAGTTGGCGCTGTGAACGTCGTCGGGTTCAGCGCATCGCACAACGCCAATCAGAAAACCTGAAGCAAACACACAGCAACAAAGCAAGCTACATACATTCTTACAACTCTGCTGCTGGAGTTCTAAAAGAAAAAGAAGTGTTTGAAGACGTACAAATTTTATTTTACACGATAAACAGGGATAATTGCTGGATTTGTACGCAATAGTGCAGTGGCGCGTTAAAAAGAAAATTTTTAAAATTATTAAGAAAAATACTTAATAGTTTAACAAAAAATGCATGCATTTTTTTAAGAATACTTAAGTTATATACAAAGTGATGAAAGTGCATTTGCAGCAGACAGCAAAAATACGGAATTAGAAAAGTTTCCGAGTGCAGCCCTATTGATGATCCAATCATTCCATGTGCTTTTGTGTTGTATAAAAAAAAAAAAATTATTAACAATTCAAACAAACTGAGCATTTCTAGAAACAAAAAAAAAAAACAAAAAACAAATCGGTGTTAAATGCGAATTTTCGAAAAACTGTTTGGTGGTGAAATTATTGTGTTATAAAAGCGTTTGCCAATAAGAAAAGCACATTTGTATAGAAAATAGCAAACGCCGAAAAGCATTTTTCGGCTGCTTGAAAACGCAAGTAAACCGTTACTTTATGTTACGCGCTCAAAGTCGCTGTCGCCGACACGCATGATAATCAACTGCGCAGCCCGAAAATGTCAAAAGTTCACGTGCTCTGACACCCACGCAATGCAGATTGCAAAGAACTTTATATATTGTAAAAAACACAAAATACATTAATTAAAAAACATAAAACTGTTTAAAAAATGAACAAACGCAAATAGAACGAAAACTGAAAGTGCATGTGCAGTAGGCAGTTAAAAAATAAATAATAACAATCAGCATGTCTGCAAGAAGTTGAAACTATACAATTAAAACGAAACAAAAAAAAAAAAATTAGCCACGCATGTGGCATAGTGTGAATATTAAAAAAAAATACATATATATTTACACACGATTATTTCAAAAAAGACAGCCATGCTGAGCTAACGACTAATTAAGTGTTGCAAGAAACTACCTACTAAATATATACCTACATACATATATTATATTTTCTAAACATACATATAGTATATTTTTAATGGATTTATATTTATTGTGTGCGAAAGTCCAAACTACAAAAAAGTGTACAAGAACACCACAATTCTATTTGCTGATTTTGAGCTTTTGCTGATGCTCAGTGGCTAACAAATTTATTTAAAAAAAAAAAAACGAGAAAAGTGTTGAAATTTCTCAAACGCCACCGCAAAGGATATTCATACGGTACAAAATACGCGCTGCCGAAAATATTCGAACCAAAGCGGAAAATAAACAGACAAGTGCCGTGCAAACTATAAAATTGGATTACACACAAACATACCTCTCATAAAAAAAGGATTAACATCTAACCAGAAACGTATACGAAATCTTCAAAATGCATTGGATTAAAATTATAACAGTCACAATCCTAACGCTCTTTGTCGTTGCCAATGAGGTGAGTTGTTGAAATATACCCAGCTGAGGGAAAGAGGAAAATATATTTAGATACGTATACTTTAATCAAATACGCTGGACTAATATCTATAATATTAACATAACGACCAGCAAAGCAAATCCCTTAAGCGTTTTCCGCTTACTTTGGCAGAAATATATTTTTAACTATTTACATACACAATATAAGTGCTCTGTATTCGCAGTTTCGCCAACAATATGCTTTTACAGCACTTGAGAACACATGTTCCGAAAATTTCCAAAAAAAAAAAAAAAAAAAAAAAATATTTGTGTTTGTAATTTGATAGCTTTTGGTTATAAATGAAGAGAGGTGGTTGTTAATTTTACATCCACAGCACGGCTTTGCGAGTTAGAAATTAAAAACAAGCATTTCAAATCAGTTTTAGAACACACAGACAGACACCACGATTAATGCGCTACTTCCCCTAGAATTTGTTATTGACCTTGCTGAAGGGGTTTAAGTTTTAAAATTCACGTACGTGTGTGTGTGTGTTTGCCTTTTCACCTTAAATTGTATGACAATAAAATAGAAATTTCGATTTAATTTTTAAATTGTAAAATTGTTAAATTTCCCCCTCTCTTTGGCTTTACCTCCACAAAATTTAAAAATTATTTTGCGATGACCAAGCAAATTGAGATATCGCTTGGCATAAAATGCACTATTCTTACTATTCTTGTTGTTTATATATTTTTAATATTGCTTTAATGCTTTCATTTATTATTATTTGATATTTCAAATGCAAAGTTTTGTTTTGTTCATCAAGCAAAATTTAAACAAAAACATCTGCTATCAAGTAGTTCTACTCCATCCCATCCGTGCTTGCTTCTGCCAACTTGTCGCCATCACAAGAGTTGAGACCAACCAAGTAACCAACTCGACGGCACGCAGCGTAGGTCAATGTGCCGCTGGTGGCAGTCAGACAGACATGCAGGTTAAAAAAAAAGGATACAAAAATTATAAAAATAATTTACTTATTCATTACTAGAATAGGATCAGATGAAAATAAGCAGACAGTATCCAATAATAAATATTACCACCAGCAGCACCATCACCAACACCAACACCGACAGCTTTAATTTTTAAAGCCTCCTTTCTTCTTGTTCACTGCCCTACTATGCGCCTGGCAAACATTTTTTTTTAATTTAAAAATTAAAAAAAAAATATAGAATTTTTTTTGCATTCCTGCATTTGCACGCACTTTTTTTGACTTTGCAAAAAATGTAAAAATTTTTTACTTGAAGTAAAAAAAAAAATACGCTGCTAAAATTACACAATTTTTTTCTTATTCCTTCACCGCCAACTGCTGGTCGTCGGTCGTTCACAAAACATATGTTGGCTGGTTGGCTGGTGAGTGGTGCTCCTCCATCGCTTCACGACTTACAGGCTCAATGTGCTTCTGTATTGTAGTCATCCGTAGTGTATGTATGTACATGTGTGTGTGTGTGCATAAAAAGTGTATGTTCGTAGGATCATCAACATGATTATCATCTGCTGTGCAATTTTTTTTTTTTCAGTTTCTTCATGGCTTTTGATTTTTTGTGTGTGTGGCTAATTTTGCTCAACTGAAATTAATTTGGTAAAAATTCAACGTCTTGTCTTGTTGCACTTAAAATTTCTTGACTTTGTTTTAGTATTTTTTCTTTTATATACCTCCAGTGGCAATTTTTTTTTTTTTTTTTTATTTCACTGTCTTTTGCTTTTGTAAAATGCATCTCCTGCGGTCTTATGAGCAGCTGAAAATTATATGTGCATGCTTATGTATGTATGTATAAACGTATGTATATAAATATATAGGTATATGCGTACACTTGATGGTGGTTCAGTCGATAAAGTAGAGTGCGCATATAAGTTTTTCGTAATTTTTATTTTTCTTGAAGTTACTATTTTTAAATTAAATTTATTTTTAGACTTATTTTATTTCAGCTGTTGCTAATTTTCTCTTTTTTAATAAAGTTTATAATAATGTAAATCATTAATAAAACCACTTACTGAATGTAAATTTTTAACAGTCGCTGATGTAACTTAACTGAGCATTATTTAATTGAAAAAAATGTTTGTTGGTAATTTTCTTGTTTTTTTCCGGTTGCGATTTTTATTAATGAAGAATTTTTAAGTGTAAAATTGTAAAATAAGAAAATTTAGTATAAGAATTTTAAGTACAAAAAATCCATCGTTTTTAATAAAAACTACACCGAAAATCAAAAGAAAGAAAATAGAAAAAAATATATTTATAAATGAATGAAAATGATAGAAAATAACTAAAATAAAATATAATACTTAGAAATAAATGAAAGAAAATGAAAATTAATGAAAGAAATAAATATAAATAAAAATAAATAAAAATTAAGAAAAATAAATGAAAGGAAATAAAAATAATGTAAAGACAAATAACAAAAAAAAACAACAATAAATAATATAATGAAAGAAAAAAACGTATGAAGAAAATATGCAAAACAAACAAAAAAAAAAAATATTTAAAACATATATTTATTTTATATTTTGTATAAATCACATTTTATTATTTTTCATGCTCTTGTAATTTTTTCCTAGACAATTTACCATATTTTTTTTCAATACAGAATTTTTAAGTGTAAAATTGTAAAATAAGAATTGTAAATATAGAAATTTCAAGCATAAACCAATATAGCGTACCAACATACATTTTTTCTGTTTTATTTTTTTTTTGTTTTATTTTTTTTTCTTTTATTTTTTGTGTAAATCACATTTTATTATTTTTCTTTCTTTATTAATTTTACCTTCAATAATTTGTTCTTAACTCACCCTCCTGGCAATAAAATTAGCATGACAACATGCTGCGCTAATTTCATGCAATCATACATGCCACAAGCCTCTTACATGTAGACTTCTTGAGATAGCAGTAATTTTTGCTATAGTTACTTAAGTGTTCTTGCTTTCTTTTGTTTTTATTTAAAGAAGTAAAAGTAAAATGAAGATTTTGTATGCACAGCATGTGAGTCTAGCACGTTGAGCATAAAAAGTTATAAAATTTTTTTTAAATTAATTATTCACTCAATAAATTTATTATCCTTGATTAATAACTAAATATGTATGTATCTTGGCTTAGTACTTACATTTTTTAACTAATATTGCAGCATTTGTTTTTTTTTTAATTTTTCGTCCGAATTTATTTTTCAATACTTTTTTATTTTATTTTATTTAATTTTGTTTTATTTTATTTAATTTTATTTTATTTTATTTACTTAATTTTTTTATTTTATTTTATTTACTTAATTTTTTTATTTTATTTTATTTTTTTTTATTTATTTATTTTTTTATTTTTTTTTTTAATTTAATTTTATTTTTTTTTTGAGTTTTTGAGTGAGACATATTCAACTGCGCAATTCTAAAAATACTAATTATAACTTGCTTGGACTTGCTTGAGTGCCTGGAAAAAAAGAGAGCAGCATAAACAAAAATGCTTGGCTGCATAAGGAAAAATTCATATAACAGCAAAGGTATAAAATCAACAAAATGTTAAAAAAATGAGGAGAAAAAAAATTAAAATTTACAGAAATACTTAAACTTAATAAAAACAATATCTGAGTTACAGGTGGGCCACGCTGCACATTATACGCGTAAACTCCACTACATACATACATACATATGTACGTACATACCTCTGCATGGCATAGACGACCAACTGCACATTTGATCGCATTACAGCCGCTCTAGTAACTAGCGGCATGCAACATAAATATTTATATGAAAATGGTGTATATGCATGTACTATGTACTGTATGTATGTATAGTAGAGTATATAGCAACTTTCGTTATACAAGAAAAATAAAAAAGAAAAAAAAAAGAATCTCGTTGCAAACTTCAGGTGGGGGAACGCACGCGCTCACTCAAGCGTTTTATATTCATATAGATATGTATGTATTTGCTGTAAAGTCTTCGTTGAAGTAAACACCTCAGTTGCCACGTCCGGCAGTTAGTCAGTCTGTCTTTCATTTGGAGCAGTCAGTCATTCCGTTACTCTTTCATTCAGTCATTCATTCATTCATTCATTTATTTACCCTTGCAATCAGTCAAGCCAGACCGTGGGCCTTAGTTGACTGCTTCTTATTCGATAATTTGCTGCTGCTTCTTCTGCTGCTGCTCTTATATTACTTTATACATAAGTGTACATATACATATTGTACATAAATTGCCTCTACTACTTTCTTCCAGTTTATTATTCTACTATTACTTTGCTGTTGCACACTTATTATTATTTTCATAAATTATAAAACATAAACATAATTTACAGTTATGCGAAAAAGGTAAAACAAACGCACAATAGCCAAATGAATTTAATTTTTTTTTTTGTTATTTTTATTTTTCATTTTAATCATAAAATAAAGCGTTCACCAAACACGAGAGCTCTGCCTACTTAAGTATGTATATACACATATGTAACTCCCCTGCTACAAAAGAGCCAACTTTTAAATGTTTGTTTGTGTAATAAGCGATTGCGAAGAAAACTAGTGCAAAGTCTATGTAGCCGCAAGAGAGTGGAAAAAATTAAGGCAAGACAATTAACAGCAGAAGCAGTCGAAATAATTAAAAAATAGAAATAAATAAATATACACACATACACATACATATATATGGTTGACGTTTGTATTTATGTCTGTATGTGTGTATGTATGTAAACTGTTGGTGCTATCGCATAAAAAAGTAACGCTCTACGCTCAAATGCCCCCACCAGAGGCAATGTCGTTGTTGTTGGGTTAACTTAATTAAGACAAGTGACGTTCAGCAGTCAACGAAAACAAACACAAATTCATATTTGTACACATCCATACATATGTATGTATATCCCACCGCATTTGAATTAATTTGTACTTATATATATATATATATATATATAGTGTGTTAAATAAGTATGACATACTCAAGTACATTCACATGTTATCTCGTATACATGTGTACATTAGTACTTACATAGATACATACATACATATGCAAGTAGGCTTGTA